TTAATACGAAATAATTTTCCTAAACTTTGGAAAGGAAGCAGAATTTGAGATAGCTTTGCCAACTTCACAGTTCTGTACAACAAAAATGTGGTTTCTGTGTAGTGTGTAAACATACAGCAGCTTACTCTTTGAGAACTTTTGACTCTGTTCTCCTTCCTCACTTTTACCTGGACCCTCTCTTTCCTTTGTCCTTATCGTCCCTGGTCTGCTTAATGAGCATTTTTTCCCCAGAAGTTTTTTCTCTGTGCAGTGCTTGTCTAGGAGTAAAAATTTTGGCTCATTAGTTTTGAATACTCCAGACACTTTGCACTTCCCTGCCATTGGAGTGTTCAAAACCTCTTCCAGTTTCAGCTTCTTTCTCAAATTGAAGCTTTAAACTTTCCAGTGAGCGCCTGGTAGCTGTTTTGAGATTCTCAGACTATAGGTGCCTCCTTGCTTTCGTCTGCTTTCTACTACACAGTTTCTAATACCTCACAGCCCTGTAGCTGACTGTGGCTTTCCTCAGTTATTAGGGACACCTTATCACATTGTTTTGTTATAGATGTTGTCCATAGTTTTTTTGAGCCAGGATCTCACTGAGTTGCTTAGGCTGATTTCAAACTCCTGGGTAGAAGGGATCCTCCCCCCCTCAGCCTCCCAAATAATTGGATCAACCAACATGCCTGACCATGGTTATACTAATACTTGTGAAAACTGAGCCAGGGAGATAGTTTTTGATTTTGTTAACTTTGGTCCTCTCTCTTTTTATGGGAGAATTTGCAAGTTAAAAAATAATAACCCCCAGATACAGGTGACTGATGAAAAACCTTGGTTGTCATAAGCTCTGTATAGTGGACATTCCTTAGCAGCACAGAGAATGAATTGCTTAATAGGTTGGCAGAAGCCTCCTGTGGACGCTAAACAGGAGTTGTAGAGCAAGAAATGGAAAAGAGAAGGAGGCAATAAGCTTTTATTTGGGGTCTGTTATGTGCCAGATATTTTGTTTGTAGTTTCCACATCTGGTATTTGCTTGGATTTAATCTAATGATCAACCCCAGGCTTCTGAAATAGATTTTTTTTTTTTTTGGTACCAGGGATTGAACTCAGGGGCAATCAAACCACTGAGCCACATCCCCATCCCTATTTTGTGTTTTATTTAGAGATAGGGTCTCACTGATTTGCTTAGTGCCTTGTCATTGCTGAGGCTGGCTTTGAACTCGAGATCCTCCTGTCTCAACCTCCCGAGCCACTGCTATATTAGAATTTAAACCCAGGTCTTCATAAGCCCTATGCTCATTTGACTTGCAGTTTACTCTCTAGGAAGGAATAAGAATCAGTTAAAATGTAACAGAGTAGAGATAGCTGCTTCAGTTTTAGTTTTGTTAAAACTCTGTTGTTTGTTGTTAAAGTAAACTTATGAAAATCATTAAAATGGGAAAGATGACATAGGATAAAAATAGAGGCATAGAAAAAATATATTTACTAACATGTAAAAGAATGATACTTAATAATAAAGATCTTTCTATCAAAGCAAGCAATTCAGAAGTTATATAGGCAGACCCCTGAGAATTTACTGACTTAAACAGTAACAAATGTAACTTGACAGGTAGTACGGATTCAAAAACTCTTTGGTTAAAATTCTGAGTTATCAATGGCTTTGTGGTACACATCTGTAATCCCAGTGATTTGAGAAGTAAAGTCAGGAAGGTCATGACTTCAAGGCCAACATCAGCAAGTTTGTGAGATCTAAAAAGGGTTTTGGGGTAGAGCACACCTGATTCAATCCCCAATATTACAAAAAAAATAATCTGAGTTATTGAAGTTAATTATGATGATGATAAAAATAATACCAAACCTTGGTTGTGTACCACAAACTATTTTAGGCATTTTACACTTTATATTTGTTAACTGCTTAAATACTCATAACAACTCTATTATGTAGGTATATTATGCCAATTTTATAAATTAAAAAATTAAAACCCAGTCTGGTTATAATTATGCCCTGTGTCACATATCCAAAAAATAACAGGACTACAATTGAAACAAGTTCAGTGTGACCTCTGAAACCACCCAACACATTGCTCCTTTATAACTTTGTTCTTCGTAGTTCTGTATTTCACTTATTTTTGTTCTTCAATGTATAGCTCAAGAATAATATACAACTTAAAAATAAAATTATTTTTAATGAAAAGGACGAGAAGTAGTTGCATAATCTAATGTTTAAAAACCCCATTAATGAAGAAACACTAAGGCATGGTGGCACACACCTGTTGTCCTGGCTACTTGGGAGTCTGAGGCAGAGGATCACTTGATCCCAGGGGTTCAAGTTCAGCCTTGGCAACATAAGCAAGACCCCTTCTTAAAACAAAGCAAAACTAGAGTCAGAAACATTTGAGGCAATATACTTAAAAAGCAGAAACATAATGAAGGGTATGTATATCATCATTATTGCTAAACAGGGAATACAGACAAATTTCAATGAGTTTTGCATAAAATAGCAAAGGAATCAAACAAATAACAGCTGTATGAAACTAGAACACAGAATTCATCATATGAACAAAGTATTGAATACCTTATGTAAATTTAACTTGTAACAGTTGTTTTTTAAAAAAATGATTAAATTTTAATAGAAAAATGTAAGGCATCACTAAAGAACTATGCCAGTTTTTTATTTAGAGAGATTAAATAAAGACATCAATTTTTATAGTCATTTGTCGTATAAATACATTGTGGTCCACAACTGGCTACATATAAAGTATTAGTCCTGTAAGATCATATTATCTGATGAAATTGTAACCATCTGAATTTGTGAAAGTATGTTCCATGATGCTTGCACGTTGACAAAACACCTAAAGACACATTTTTTTCAGAATGTGTCCCTCTTCATTCATTGATGCTCAACTGTATATAGATGTATTGCAGTAACAACTAAAATTCCCATGGTAATCGGTATGAAAAGTAAATGGATCACAGTATCAAAACATTTTCATACGGAATAAAGATAGAGTCAGCATATTTGGAAAACTGAATACAGTGCAATGGTATTGGGTTATCATCATTTGAAATAAGAACCTAACCTACAACAGAAAACAAACATAGGGCAAGGGATAACCCCTTGATACGTTGTTTTCCAAATACTTGACTAACAGATTGGGAAAAAATCAACTTAGATACATAAATACAAGAGACCAAGTAAATTCCAGCTATAACAAAAACTAAAAGCAGGGGCTGGCGTTGTGACTCAGTGGTAGCGCACTTGCCTGGCATGTGTGAGGCACTGGGTTTGATTCTCAGCACCACATAAAAATAAATAAAATAAAGGTCTATCAATAACGAAAAAAACCTTTAAAAACAAAAAGCTAAAGATATTTTTTTAAAAATGAAGAATGTTTTTCTTATCCAGGTATGGAAGGAACATGTACTTCTAGTCTTTGAAGAAAATGGAGGTCATTACCAAAAGCAAGAAGGAGTGATTAAATATATTTAAATTTTTTAGTCTTCAAGAAACAAAATTTAAAATAAAAATGTTATAAAGGAAAGTTTCTAGTATGAAATAGATAACCTGATAGTAGCTCTCTAAAAGCAGATGAGGAAATAAATGGTTATATAAGTCAATAACCACATTCCACTCAATGAATGATCAAAAGGTTTATGGTCAAGAAAATTTAGGCTAAATCATTTTCTAAAATCATATTTAAAAAATAAAATATAGGCAGAATTCAACCAATGTGAAGATTCCCACATGAAAATATTAAACTGAAAAAAATTTAAAGTTGTAAAACCCAGTCTTGACAAGTGTTTATGAGAAGGGAGATATATTTTATTAATGGCAGAAATATAAAATGGTGATGTTTAGCATTTATAGAACACTTGCTATATGCCAAACACCCTCCTAAGTGCTTTCCATGCATTAATTTCATTTGATCTTTGAGTATTAGTGTTAGTTTTCATTCTTTAGAATGATGTCAAATAAATCAGCATACAGAATAGTCAAATAAATTACTCCAGATTACCCATTTTAGCTCAAAGTGGCAGGATCTGTCCTTAAATGATTTCTATTTGCTAATTACTTTAATTAGCCCCCAAATTCTGGGTCTTACATCTCTTGCATATATCCCTATTCATTTCTCTAGTGTAAAGAAAAGAAAAATCTGAAAATTTTAAGAGGATTCCAAAAGGTCAAAACCGTGAATTATCGAATAGAGAATTTGAAAGGACTAAATAAAACCATATCCAAAAACGTTTATCTAAGGAGATAAAAATAATAATGGTGGGGGCAATGTTGATAATGGGAGAGGCTAAGAATGAGTGGGAAAGAGGATATATTAGAAAATCTAAATTTTGCCATGAACCAAAAACTATAAAAAACAATAGTCATCAAAAAATAGTAATAAGATAGTAAACATGTTCAGGGATTTCAAGAGTCTTTTCACAGCCAGCCCCCCGAATCACACCCTTAAATACATGGGTGTGCACATATGCATACTCATGTACAAACACATAAACAAAAAGTCACATCCCTCCTCATTCACAGACTCAACATCTCATATGCATATTCCCACTGGCTCCCAATAATCCTAAGGTTTCAGGTAAATTAAATGGTACCCTTGAATAAAAAGGTTAGAACCCTCAGGGAGAAAATCCTCAAGGAATAGAATTGGACATTTCATTTCTTTTTTTTTTTAATTTTTTATTGTTGGTTGTTCAAAACATTACATAGTTCTTGATATATCATATTTCACACTTTGATTCAAGTGGGTTATGAACTCCCATTTTTACCCCATATACAGATTGCAGAATCACATCAGTTACACATCCACTGATTTACATATTGCCATACTAGTGTAGACATTTCATTTCTTAGGAAACAGATTAACAAGTCCACTGTATTTGAAGGAGGAAATTTTTTCCAATTAGATCAATTTCAAAGTTTCTTTGGGTCAACTGTTCCTAGGTAAGTCTGACCTGTCAGGCTCCTTTGTTGATGCTTGATCTGATTATGCCTTATCTTTCATTCACAGAGATCACAGACTAAGAAACCAGGAGATATATTAAAGGGCCTTCAAAACATACTGACAGCTATTGACATGTCTCCTCTTTTATGCCCCAGGTAAAAATGATAAGCCAAGAAAAATATAGTTAAATTCAACCTGAGGCACTTGACACAGCATGGGTAATTATGAGTATGCAGTACCCAATGATGCTTTATGGACCTTGGATATGGGATTTATAACAAACCCCATGACTAGTGTTTCAGGACAGCAGCAGTCTTAAAGCAAAGGCTTAAAAGTATCATCATTAGACTAATTGAAATTTACTTGATCCTCCAGTGTAACAAGATCCTTCCATCTGCTTCCCCAAGCCATTACTCCTTGTGTTCAGCATATTGGTTTGTCTACCATTAAATATTCATTGTCTGCAGGGCTTTTTGGAAGACAAACAAAGCAGTCATTTTACTGCTTTATATTGATTCCTGGGTTGTCCTTAGGAAAAGCTTTTAGGAAGTTTAACAGTTTTGAATGATACGGAGGTTTACTCTATGATTAGCAAATACACTTCTTATTTCAATAATAGAATATTGGAACTTAGATGTTCATTTCCATCTACTCTGTCCTGTCATTATTGATGAAGGCCTCAAATTACACCAGTTCTGACCTGGAACTAATCTATTTAGCAGAATATTAAAAGAGAAAAGAAGAGAATTATATATGATTTTCCCAGCCATGATGTTAATTGCCTTAAAAGGAAGTTATGTACCCAGTGAAGAATGGGGCCATCCAAGTGGCCTGAAGCTAAGGAATTCAGGTACATTTTTCCCTTTTTTTAGGGGATAGGGGAGGATGGGGGGAGAACATAGAAAACTAATTTTTTTTTTTAGTTTAAAAAGGAGCTTTATCAAGATTTACTAAAGCTGGTTTAAACCTGAGTTTGTGATTTATAGTCTCCTTCCAGGAAGCCTTGGTGCCTTTTTATAGGACACTTATCCTAGATCTATCCAACTTATGAGAAATGCCTTTGGTTTGAGTGTCTGGTATGTCTGATCTTCCATTAAGCACATTTAAATAAAACAGTGCATTCCACAGTGTCAGATATATTAGTTATATATTTGACGTGGTAAATATTTAAGAGGTTCCATTTATTATCATGAAAAAAATATCAAAACACATGATAGTCATTTAGTCTTTATTTTGGCTCCCAAAAATATTCACTAAACAGATACTGGTTTTTTTCCTATGTGTTTTACCAGGTACAGATACTCAAAAAAATCTACTGAACAAAATATAAAAGAAAGCATAAAATATAGTTTCTGTCCTAAAAGCCTAACAGATAATAGTTGTTTGAAATTCACAAAAGACATTGTTTTCTACTTTATTATTTTAAATTTGTTATTGTATTATTTAAACTTCACATATCCATTTTCTTATTGTGGTTACAATCTAAAATTGCAATTAACCTTGAAATAACCTTCACTTTCCTTTTTCATTACATTCCCCTTAAGAACTTCAATAAATCATTTTACTGAAGACCATAGTCTTTAAGTACATTTTCCTAAGCTAATTATTCAGGAAGATAATAGTAGTGTTTAAGGAAGCACAGTTGTCCAAACTATCTCTATATAGTCACCTGAGGTTCTTGGTAAGCCCTCTTTCTCACTCTCTACTTCAGGTAAGTGCCAATTTTTAGGAGGTCCAACTATTTTTTAGCAATGAAATGAATCATGTTTTTCATTGCTTTATGAATTGCACTACATGAAAAAGCATATTTTAAAACGTGGACATCTGGGGTTTCACATTTGTTAGTGGCAGAGTAGTTGGTATGAAACTAAACCTCTTGTGGAAAACAATTATGTACTAAGAAAAAAATATAAACAAATTCTCTTTGAAGGAACTGGAGAGTGACCAAAAGTAGGCAAAAACTGGAAAGAAATCAACCCTTGAAAGAAGAAACTATATATGGTTTTCAATTCAGTCCCTGTGGTACAAAGAATCCAGAACTCCAGCAGAAAAACGCAATACTAACCAACCAATATCAATCAATATGGAAAATGAAAGAAGGAAATTAATAAAGATTTTAAAGAACACAAAAAGAAAATGGGAAAATACTATAATCAACTTTATGCCAGTAGATTTGACAACTAGGTAACATGGAAAATTTACTCAGAAAATGCAACTGATTAAAATGAAACAAAACATCTAAATAACCATCCATCAATTACACAACTCATTCAAAAAACAGAAAAAGGAAATACTTCTCAGCTCACTTTATAAGACCAGTCAAATACTATCATCTGACTTTGTCAGCATAACTCGGATACAGATATTATGAAAAAAGAACATTAGAGACCAATGTTCTTAATAAATTTAGACACAATTATTCTTATCAAAATATTAGCCAATTTGTATAATAGTATATAAAAAAGATGTTACATCATGGTCAAATAGGGTTACTCCTAGAAACAAAGGTTAGTGAACTGAAAACCCTGTGGTGTAATTCAATGTAAAAGCATTAAAAAAAAAACAGAATAATTACAATAGATAAAAACTTTTGATAAAAACTTTTGACAAAGTAGGAATAGAAAGGAACTTCCTCAACCTGAAAAAGAGCAAATGTGAAACCTCAGCCAATATCACACTTAGAGGAAACTCTTAAGATTGGAAACAAGGCAAGCTGCCTGTTACCTCTCAATTCTTATTCTCCTGGCAGTCCCATCTAGTTTGATAAGACAAGAAACAGAAATAAGACATAAGTAGAAGAAAGGAGGAACTAATTCCTATTTGCAGATAACATAATTGTTTATACAGAAAATCTTAGGGATCTACCAGCAAGTTAATAGAATTAATATGTGAATTTAACAAGATTTCAGGATATAAGGCCAGTAGTAAAAAATTTTGGAAATCAAATTAAAAGATCACTCCATTAGCAGCTTAAGTGTCCATCAATGGATGAATGGATAAAGAAAATGTGGTATATATACACAAAATGGAGTTTTATTCAACCATAAAGAAAAAAAAAGTATGTGATTTGCAGGTAAATGGGTGGAATTAGAGACCATTATGTTAAGTCAAACCCGGGAACTCAAGAATCATATGCTTTCTCTCATGTGGAAGCTGGAGAGGGAAAATGAAAAGAAAGTACAGATAGGGATCTCAAGAAAATCAAAGGGAGATCAGTAGAGGAAAGGGCCAGAGGAAGGAGGCAGGGAGAGAGGAAGGAAATGATATTGGCCAAATTATATTGTTATATTGTGTAAATGTATGAATATGTAGCAATGTATCCCATCATTATATTCAACTATAATGCACAAATAAAAAATGTGAGAAAAAAAGATGATTCTCAAATTATAGACTTCTAGGACTACAGGCTTAAAGATCATCTAATTTAGTCTCTTAGGTTTGGCTTATACATGAATAAATGGAGGACTGGCAAGATTTTTTTTTAAAAAAAAAAGACCATTCATGAACAATAGCATTAAAACATAGCGTAAGCTTGGCTTACTGCAAGAGTACACACCTGCAGTCCCAGCTACTTGGGAGGCTGAAGCAGGAGGATCACTTGAGCCCAGGAGTTCAAGGACAGCCTGGGTAACTATAGAGAGCCATCCGTGGGCCAATATGAACTACATAAGCATCACAGCCCACTGAATAGGAGAATCTGGTGTCTGGGAACTTCCAGTGGACATTTCCTCTGGCTGACTGCCCAGACACATTGTGAGTCCTATTCAAGCTCTGCCTCAGGTCCCACACAGCACCAAAAAGGGGTGACTTGCTGCAGCCACACAGCCTCTCAGAGATAGGTGTGACCTGCCAAGATGCCAATCAACCTGCTGACTGCAAGACATCATGAAGCAAGACTCCACCACATTATGCCTACCTTTAATGTACCCCCTTAAATAAACCACGGGAGCCATTTTTTTAAATGTCCAGCTCCAGCTCCTGTGTGGACTGGGTCTATCATGCACTCTACTTTACAACTGTAATTCTGACTCTGTGTCTTTTGTTCTTCACTAATTATTTCTGACTTATTTTCTCTGGTGGCTTATACCCTCCTGGGCAGGAAGAAGGACCCCCAGACCCCATTTAAAATAAATTTTTAAAAATGCTTAGGAACAAACAAAACAATAGATTTGTAAAACCTCCATGTTAAAAACTACAAATACTGACTGATAAAAGCAGTTATATAACACCTACATAAACATGGAGATATACCATTTTCATGTTTTGGAAGTCTCGATGTTGGTAAAATGTCCATTTTTTTCCCCATTGATCCAGAGATTTATTGCAATCCTAATCATAATCTCAGCAGGCATTTTTATAAAAGTGACAATCTGATTCTAAAATTTAGGCAGAAATGAAAGAGCCTAGGATAGCCAAAACAATGATGGAATAAAAGGATGAAGCTTGAAGATTTATATTATTTAGCTTTAAAACTTAATGTAAATTACAGTTATCAAGATGTGTGATATTGGCAATAGACAGACCGATCAAGTGGAATAGAATAAAAAGAAGAAATAGATCAATACCTATGTAGTTATTTCATTTCAGACAAAGGTGCTGAAGTACTTCAGTGAGGAAAAGAAAATCATCAATAAGTTATGCAGGAAAACTGGATAACTATGCGGCAACAAAATAATCTCTGCCTCCTTAATTCAAGGTAAATCATGGACCTAACTGCAAAAGTCCAAAATTTATTTTTTGGAAATCAAGTATATTGTCAAAACCAGAGGGTAAGCAACAATTTCTTAGATAAACAAAGACATTACCACAGAAGTATTTTTAAAAAGATACATTTTATCAAAATTTAAATCCTGTCATTAAAAGATACTTTTTAAAAATGAATAGGAAGCCACAACTTGGACAAAATAATTGTAAAACATATATCTAGTAAAAGTCCCATATCCAGAATATATGAATTAGTGCTACAATTCATTAATAAAGGCACCAAACCAAGAAAAAAAAAGAGATACAAAACTTTAACAGACACAGGATGAAGGAAACATGTTTAAGGAAGTCCTCAATATTATTAGTCATTAAGGAAATGCAAATTAAAACTGCAATGAGACTACTACATACCAACTACAATGGCTAAATTTAAAAATATTGACAATTAGCAAATACTGGCTAAGAGATGAAGCAAGTAAAAGTCTAATACCTCACCGATGGGATACAAAGTGGATTATTCCCAGGAAAGATTTGATAATTGCTTCTTTTTTTTTTTTTTTTTTTTTTTTGGTGTGTGTGTATGGGGTTGGAGAATTAATCCAGAGGCGCTCTATCAGTGAGCTAAACCCCAAGCTCTTTTAAAATTTTTATTTATTTATTTATTTATTTATTTTGAGACAAGGTGTCATTAAGTAGCTGAGGTTGGCCTCAAACTTGCAATCCTCCTGCCTGAATCTTCCAGGTTGCGGAGATCACAGGCATGCCCCACTGCACCCAGCCTGACTTGGTAATTTCTTATAAAGTTAAACATACACCTGTACCTTATGACCTAGAAATTCTACTTCTAAATATTTACCAAAGAGTAATAAAATGTATGTTCAGAAAAAGTCATGACTAAGAACATTCATAGCTACCCAAAACTGAAAATGACCCAAAGGTTCATTAATAGGTGAATGGATCGACAAATTATGGTATCCTCAAACAATAAAAACTATCCACAAGAAAAGAACTACTGATACACCCCAAAGCATGGATAAATCTCACAGACATTATGCTGAATAAAAGAAGTTAGGCACAAAGAATACATTCCACAATTCCATTTATATCAATTTCTTAAATAAGTTTTTTTAAATAAAGCTATGCTGACAATTTATGGCAGAAAAATGAATCTAAGATGAAACAAAAACAAAGTCAGAAGAGCATTTGCTTCTGGCAAGGTTGATAATTAGGAAGAGGCAAAGGAAACTAAAGGTTGAAAAATATGTACTAAATGTTATTAGAGGCATGGGTCATATGGGAGTACATGTTTGTCAAAATTCATCTGTGGTAGTTCATTTTTCTTTGCTTTAATGACATGCCAGAGGTAGGACTCTTTATAAAGAAAAGAGGTTTATTTTGGTTCTTTGTTACAAAGGTGCAAGGTGGAAGGGGCATATCTGGAGATATTGTTCTTACTGGCAGAGTCCCAAGGAGACAGGAAGTGCACATGTGTATTATGTCCATCTGGTCTCTCTCCCTCTTCTTATAACACCACCAGGATTTAATAAGGGGTCTACTCTTAAGATTTTAACCAATCCTAATTATCTCCCCACCAGTGCACACGGTAGCCAGATTAAGTCTCCACCCTCCCCATACTTCACGGTGGGGATCATATTTCAACACTTGGCATCTTGGAGAAATGCTCAAACCACATCCAAGCCATACATAGCACCATCAACTTGTGTACTTCAGATTCATGCATTTTATAGTATTTAAATTTTATTCAAAAGGTAAAGAAGCTGAGCTTCTGAGTGTTTTTAATATTCTTAATATTTTTCATATCCTTTTATCTTTTTATCTCACTGATAACCACCTGAAAAGCATATGCAAAGCACTGAATATCACTGGCCATTTTTTTCCTTGATGTTTGTAGAATGACATACACCTCGGATCATTTAATGTGGTAAAATAGGCAAGAAGCAGGAGTGATTCTGAATTTCATGTACTGTGAAAGTATAAGTATCATCTGTGTTGAAATGGAAGAAAAACCCCTTGCATTTGAAATAACTCAAAACCCGATGTTCTTCAGCTGACCTAAGTAAGTAATAAATATGGTGAATTTAAAAATGCCGATGGGGCTGGGGGTATCAGAGCAGGTGCTTAGCATGTGTGACGCTCTGGCTGGGTTCAATTCCCAGCAGGCCTTCCACCCCAAAACAACTACAACAAAGCAAAAAAGGCTGAATAAGGATAATGGGTGTTAAAATGATCACACAGGGATGTAAAAACCCATGTAATGTGTCGAGATTTTCCTTTGGGGGGCTGGTGGTGCAGTAAACAACCTCTCCCTGATGCCCTCCTTGCTGCCTTCTTCTCTGATGGCTCCCTTCTTCCCTCACTCCCTTCCTTCCTTTCATTTGTTCATATCGGTATGGACTAAAACATTCTAACTTTATTCAAATTACCTCAATGCTCCGTTTGTCCCAGTTTTGGGTTAAGGGAAGTCACTTCAAGCCAAATCCTAAACAGGGATCTATGAGGCGTATGGGAGCCCCACCTTCCTCTCCAGCTTCTGGCCCTGCCTTCTATCCACAGTGACCTTTTGCCATTTCCTACTTCCTGCCACCTTGGGGTCTCATTGACTCTGCCTATGCCTGCCTGGAATGTTTTTTATCTCCTTTTTCTTGGTTAATACTTATTTAACTGTCTGAACTGAGCTTAAAAGAGTCCTTTTATCAGAGAAGTCTTCTCTAATCCCCAGCCTAGGTCAAGGACTGTGAACTTTTACATCTATCATACTGTGCTAAAAATACTGCAGGAACAAAAATCAATTCACGAAATAGCTTTTTTTTTCTAACCACAAAACCCACTAAAGAAACCTCTTGCTAGAAGCCAACTTCATATGTAGTGAGGATTGAATCGATGGAAGAAGAAAAAAAGAGAAGAAGAAATCAAAGAAGTAGGAGCTTCTCAGGCCAAGGGCCAAGGATAACTTGGGGACATAAATTTTTATCAGTGAGCAGCTGCTGAGAGAAATAGTGAGAATGTAAGCTACAGGAAAAGATGTTATATATATATATATATGTTTTAAATATATATAAACTATATATATATATAGTTGTTCAATAGGAACGGACTCCTTTGGGGTATTTTTATAATTAAGATTTGGGTTTTGCTTTTATTTAATATTTTTGAGCTGGACTAACCAAGAGAATGGATGGTTAATATGGTTTCTCCATGTGAATATTAACTTAATGAATCTGTTCTCTCCTCCCCTCCACTTACATATAAATTTCTGAGATCGATATTCTTCTTGTCTTATTTACTCATCTTTATAATCCTGGTGTTTGCACAATCAGTAGCAGGTGCTATATCAATATTGATTAAATTAATGTGTGTTTAAGGCAATTTGTTTAACCTCTCCAGACCTCAATTAAGTTGCTCTTCAGACTTCTTAACTCTTTCAATAGAAAGAGCATCAACTGCAGAGAAGAAAAATTCGATCTCTCCACTGCCAGAAATCTAGAGTTGTTTGAAACAGCCAATTATTGTTCTGCTATTTCTCTGAAGTTTCATATTCCATCTTAAACACTTGTTACATTATTCATATTAAAACTTTAAATTTTATATTCCACACTATTGTATATCAGTATTTATTTAACACTAAAGTGACTTTTATCTCAAATCTTCTAATTAAAATAAATAACTTTGTACCTATTACCCCTAGGGCTATGCAAATTTCAAACCTATTTAAGAAACACAAGTATTAATTAAATGACCTATGAGGTTCCCTTTTAGCTCCATGTTTTCTGATTGTTTGATTTTTAAAGAAGCCAAATAGCTAATATTTACTGAATTTCTTTCATGTTTAAGTCACAGAGGAGAATACAAGGAACAATGAGATACACTGTTTGCCTTTACAGAAACTGAATTGGGTAAGTCATGTTAGGAGGCAGTATAGAGTAAGTGCCAAGTAAATAGAGTAACTTGTACAATTCAGAATGTTGGAGTCCTCTAGGCCTCAGTTTCCTCGTCTATATCATGGGATAAAAATGCTCAGACTTTTTATCTCACAGGGTAGCTCTGAAACTCAATAAAGCATGCCCACATACAAATGAAAAAGTGATCAGGGAGTTTTAATCATATGGTCAAACTTTGAAATTTGAGTATTAAACAAGTTCATAGGAAAATGACTTCATGAAGTCACAAAAGGAGATATATATACCACAAAGGTACAGGAAACTAAAAATAATCTTTATTAACCAAAAACCAAAACAACAAAACAAAACAAACTCAGGGGAACTATTTCTAGAAAAGCAGAATATTATGGGCTTTGAGTTACAAGAAAAATCTAGAATCACTGTCATGGGTTTTATTTTAAAAAGATAAATCCCTTGATATAATTTGGTTCATATTTTGAAACAGCTGGGAACATTTTGGTATAGACCAAAGGGCTATTTTAAATGCTTCAACCCCTTTAAAGATTATTAAAAGGAGACTTGAAGAAACCAGATAATTATTTGCAGAGATTAAGTGTCAAAATGGTAATCTTACTAAAAGAATAAAGAAGGAAAATATGATTGTATGTTTAGTGGAAAATGAATTGGCATTATGCCAGAAGTGGAAGACAAGAAAAGAAGTAAATTTAGGAAGTAGTTTCAATATAATTCTTGATGGAAGGTTAAAAACAAGTAGCCTTCTACATAATTTGGAATAAATTTCAACATTATTGAATGACTAAAACATGGCTCAAATCTTAATCTGAGAGTTAAATCAGTTATATACAATGAAACTGTGAAATCTGTGGGAGGCTTTCTAAGCATAGTATAGAGGAAATGGTACCTGGTGATAATGAGAATTATAAGTATTTAATCATTTAAATGAGATTTGAAAATCAACAAAAGAGAAAATACATCATTAGTTAGTGGCATCTGTTTAATCGAAGCGTATAAATGAAAAACAAATCTTTATTTCAAGAAGTTTCTAACAAGCATTCCTGTTATGATTTGGATCTTTAATGTCCCTTGAAAATCTCATGTGTTAGGCAATACAGTGTGGGAAGCCGTTCTCGCACGTGATTGGGCTACCTCCCTGACTAGGTGTGAGGCGCTCAGACCAGCTGTGTCAGAGTTTTTTCCCCACCCTTTCCAGGTGCGAGGGCTTGTCCGTGTGGGGATGTGACTGACCATTGACCTGGAAACCAATCACTGACCCTGACCTTGGAATGCTGTCCACCTCGACCTTCATTGGATGGAATTTTCCCCTGGATTTTTTGTTTCCCAATAAAAGCCCACTCTCTGGCGTGCTCTTCCTCTCTCCTGCTGGTCTCTTGTGTAAACCTCCCTGGAGAAGCCGTCTCTTAGCTGGGCAAGAAAAAAGGTAAATTGAGTTTTATGTGTCTTTAATTTGATCTCACTAGTTAACTTCTATGTTTGGAACCTCTAGTATGAAGCTAGCGTGCTGGTCACGCGGCAGAACACAGGAATGTTCAGACATGATAGATTATGAGAGCTGTAACCTCACCATTAAATTAATCCATTTTATGGATTAAGAATTTGAATGGAGGGCTGGGGTTGTGGCTCAGTAGTAGAGCGCTCACCTAGCACATGTGAGGCCCTGGGTTCGATCCTCAGAACCATAAAAATAAATAACATAAAGGTATTGTGTCCAATTACAACTAAAAAATAATTTTAAAAAAAGAATTTGAATGGATTATTGGGTGGTGTCTATGCAAAGGTGGAGGAATGCTGGAGAAAGGAGGTCACTGGGGGTGTGGCTTTCTTCCATTACGTTGTTCTGCCTCACCTCTGGCCAAGAGCCTTGGAGCTGACCAACCATGAACTAAATCTCTGAACCTATCAGCCCCAAATAAACCTTTCCTCCTCTAACTTGTTCTTGTCAGGTGTTTTGATCACAGTGATGCAAAGCTAATCAACACTATATCACTTTTGCAAAACATGGAAAATACTGCACAATTGAATGTTGAAACCATATACATTTGAGTATAACTAAAGATGGCTGCATTTGAACAGTACATAGTGTGTAATACAATATGTGTATAAAGCAAGGTAAAGAAAGAGTACTCCTATTTGCTAGTACTTGCATAAAATAACTGAAACAGGAAATCTTAATTTGCTTCTAGGATGTAAGAATGGGGAGGGTTCTCTTTGTATATCCTTTGTGATTCTATTTTTTTTTTAATTTGACTTGTTTAAGTGAATTACATAGTCTAATAAACAAACAAAATCAAATGACCTCAAATTAAATGATTATCTGCGAAATAATTTCTGGAGATTCGAAGTTTATTAATTTAAAAAGTTAATTTGTATCACACAGATAGATAAGATAATAATCGTTCTCCAGAACATCTTTCCCAAACTTTAGCATGCGTCAAAATCTCTTGGGGGCTCATTAAAAAATAGTGTTTGGTCTCACCTTCCAGATTTTCTGAATCAAAGGTTTGGGGCAGAGTCCAAGAATTTTTATATCAAATAGGTTCCCAGGTGATGCTCCGACTGCTCCTGGTGATATGGGGACCAAGAACCACTATTTTAACAGTTATATCAGCAAAGAATTCCTGATGCTGTAAAAGACTCCACACTCTTAGGCAGAAATAAAAATGTATGATAAGTCATCAGGTTATGTAAAACATAAGCGAAACTTCACAAGTCTAAAATGTAACAGGATCTAAAGATAACATCTCAATGAATTGTTTCATAGTCTTCTGAGAGAAGTAAATTGACACCAGGCCCAGTGCTCAGTTATTTATTATGAATAAAACAATCACATCTGAGTTTCTGCTCTTCCATCAAGAAGCTTTGAGTTCAGTTTAAATAAATAAGAGTCCCTTTTTGATGGATGGTCTATTTGAATGTCTGTCCTGATATTGAATTACATAGAAGGTAAGACTCAAGGAGTTTTGTGATAACTGTTAATATTTCTTGTATTTATTTCTCATTAACTTTTATCCCAATTCAAATCTGTCAGGGAGTAGGATATAATTTTGCAATATTCACATGGTAAACTTAAAGCACATAAAATACCTATGTAGGTTTAAAGATGAACATTACTGCTAACGTTGTATAAGCTTAATTTCTTTAATACTGTTTCTTTAACTAAGTATAATTATAATTATTGAAGTGTGGTGTTTTATGACGGTAATAAAAACATGGAATATTTACAAAACACTCACTATATATTTACATGCATTAAGTCATTTACTCTTCCCAACAATGCTATGGGATATGTACTGTTGTTGTTCTCATTTTTCTTGATATGAAAAGTGAAACTCCAGGAAGTTTAAGAAGCTTGTCCAGGGGCTGGGATGGTAGTTCAGTGGTAGAGGCGCTCACCTAGCACGGGCGATGCCTTGGGTTCCATCCTCAGCACCACATAAAAATAAATTAATTAAATGAAGGTATTGTGTCCAACTACACCTAAAAAATAAATATTTTTTTAAAAGGAAGCTTATCCAAGATTATGTGGCCAGGAAGTGATCTAGCCAAGCTTTGAATAGGACATGTAAGCGGGCTGTTGTTTTTTGTTTTTTGTTTGTGTGTGTGTGTGTTTTTAAACACATTGCCCTAATACAAGCTCTTATGACTGTGGAGACAGTACATATAGTTATCTGATTATATAATATAGTATATGCATAACAGTCCTCTGCAGAGGATCATTGCACAGAAGGCTGTTAAATTTAGGTCGTATGTTTATTGCAAAAGATAAATGGCAAATGTTTATTGAGCATCTTATACTCTTTTCTAGTTCCTGATAATTTTTTTCTGAAGCAGGCTTTTTAGAGCAGTTTTAGGTTCACAGCAAATTGAGCAGGAATTATAGAGAATTTCCATATATCTCCTCTTCTTCCTATATTGCAACCTCTCCCATTTTCAATATCTCCCACCAAATGATTGTGCATTCGTTCTGATCAATGAGCCAACACCAACATATAATTATCATCCAAAGTTCATTGTTTAGGGGCCACTATTGATTTTATACCTTAAATTTTGACTGATGCACAATGACATGTGTCCACCATTGTAGCATCATATAGACTAGTTTCATTGCCCTACAAATCCTCTGGGCTCTGTTATCCATCCATTTCTCCCTGCTAGCCCTCTAATTTTTTGGGGGGGCGGAGAGAGAGAGAGAGAGAGAAAGAAAGAATTTTTAATATTTATTTTTTAGCTTTTGGTGGACACAACATCTTTTTATTTTATTTTTATGTGGTGCTGAGGATCAAACCCAGTGCCGCATGCATGCCAGGCAAGCACGCTACCACTTGAGCCACATCCCCAGCCCACCTCTAATTTCTTTTATATTTTATTATAATATAAAAAAGTATACAAACAATATATGAGAAAGAAGAAACATTTTCTTCAAATAATATAGTATGGTTAGTGATGTTTGCATACTATACATTTTGGAACTAATTATCAAGAATATCAATTTCTAAGCATTTAGCCAACTAAAACCAAAGGATATATTTCATTAGCTCATTTATGTCTCTGTAAATTTCTTTTTTTAAAATAAGAACTAAAAAATCTACCAAGCATTGTGGTTCAGAATAATATGTTCCTTCACAGATCTTATGTTTAATCAGAAATTCATCCTCTTCTAAAGATAGGCAAAGATTTCTTAAACAGATTATAAAAAACACTAACCACAAAAACAAGATTGATACATTGAATTTAAAATCAAGACCCATTCATCAAAAGAGAAGGAGACCTGGGGCTATGGCTCAGTGGCAGAGTGCTTGCCTAGCACGTGTGAGGCATTGGGTTCGAATCTCAAAACCACATATAAAGAAAGAAAATAAAGGTCCATCAACAACTATATATATATATATATACATATATATATATATATTAAACCATATGTATAATATGTATGGAGCAGGTAAACCACAGAGTAGGAGAATATATTTGCAGAATTTTCATTCAACAAAGTCTCATATCTAGAATACATAAAGAAAAACTACAAATTCTCAGAAAAGAAATTTGAATAAATACTTCTTCAAAGAAGAAGATGCCCAAATTGTCAGAGTGGCAAAAGTATATGAAAAGGTCTCTTTTAGTCTTCAGGGAAATGCCTATTAAAACCACATTGAGAAACTACTGACCCCTAGCAAAAGGACTAGTTTAAAAACAAAACAAAAAAATCCATAGCACCAACTGCTGGAGATGATGTGGGCAACTAGAACTCTCATGTTGCTGATGGGGGTATGAACTGGATCAACCATTTTGGAAACCTGTTCAGCAGGATTTAATAATGCAATATATATGCCTACCCTGTGACCCAGGTATGTATGTAAGAAAAATCAATGGTTTTGTCCTCTAAAAGGCATATATAAGAATGTTTCAAGAATGTTTATAGCAGCTATGGTTGTGATAAAGCAAAACTGAAAACAACCCTAATGCTCATCAAAAGTAGAATAGACAAATAAGCTGGGTGTGATATGTTCCTACAATGGAATATTCTATAAGCAATAAGAAAATGAACAAAATACTATTGCATGTAACAAAATGAATGAACGTCATTGGAAAAATGCTTAGCAAAAGAAGGCAGGCAGGGGCTGGAGATACAGCTCAAGGACTGGGCATATAGCTCAGTTGGTAGAGTGCTTGCCTCGCACGCACAAGGCCCTGGGTTCATCCCCAGCACCACACACACACACACACACACACAAAAAAAAAAAGAAGGCAGGCAAAGTCCCCATTCCACTGTTCAATGTGTGTGTGTGCACGTGCGCAGGCACACGCCCACATGGGCATGTGTGTATACATTTACAACATTTACAATTGTCTCTTGGTATACAAGGGATTGGTTCTGGGACCCCCAACAGACAGGGAAATCCACGGATACTCAAATCCCTTATATAAAATGGAATAATATTTGCATATAACTTATGCACAACCTCCTGCGTATTCTAAATCATCTGTAGGTAGCTTATAATAAATAATGAATAAAATGTGAGTGCTATTTAAATAGTTGTTATGCTGTGTTGTTTAGGGAGTGATAATAAAAAGTCTGTACATGTTTTAGTACAATTTTTAAAAGTATTTTTCATCCTTGGTTTACTTCACAGATGTATATATTGGGTGAATAGTAGAATAGTGGTTAATTCAAAGTTGGAGGGTGTGGTATAGTAACTAACTGGGAAGAGGTATGACACAGCCTTTGGGGTGCTAGAATGTTCTATATTTTGTTGTGGGTAATTATACAAGTGAGCACATGTAAAAATTCATTAATGTATTAAGTGAAGATTAAAGCACTTTATTACATATACGTTATACCTTTCTTTTTAGAAAAAGAAAAATCTAATCTCTCTGATTAATATTGTGAAATATATATTGCCATTCTAAATAATTTCCAGCTCTGGCAGATGAAAAGAATGAACAAGTATGGAGTATTAATCTAATCAGAAGGATCCAGCTGACTTTTCTGAATATGGAATTGGCATGGTAAAATTACACTTTACTCATGACATTATGTACAATGAATGCATCAGTGGAACATCTGGAGAATACTGAATAACTTTTACACAGTGAATATGCTGTCTGTTGAGAAAAGCTCGACTCTGATTGCTTTGAATTTATGAGTCAGAACTGGAAGGAAGAGAGTGTGGAACTCCACCCCACCCACTTTCTTCCCATTCGGCGCCCCTACTGACCACAAATCCTTGGCTTTGATTCTTATTAGGGTTTTTCTGTCACATTTTATGGTTTTCCACATTCTAAAATACAATTTGTATAAATAAATGACACATGTTTAAAGGTCCACAGATGCCTTTAGATGTTTCTCAGACTTCCCTGTGGACCAGTTCTGCACCTTCCCACCGCTCAGCCCCCTCCATTCGTAACATAATTGGGATCGGGCATTTGGACCTAAACGAACAGGCAGACAGTTGGAATTTTTCCTTCCAGCTTTCATTTACTTTATTGTTTGTTTCATTGGCTTTAAGTGGAGTTTGATTAGGGCATAGCCCATAGGATTAAAATGAACAACTTTTAGAAATTGTTTGAAAGTACAAGGTTACCTAGGTGAAGTTTTGTGTGATGTCACTATGAATGCTAAAAATAGATTGGTTTACCGTGTGCTGCATTATGTAGCTGGTAACCATAGAATTTAGTCAGCCCCTACCCTCAGGTTCAAGGATACATTTGCTGGGTGCGTGCATGCAGGCATAAAGGAGCTGCTGAAATTTCTGCATAGCAGTTTCACACAAGTTTTCTATAAGACCAGCACAATAGAAATAGTAAAGGGTATTCGT